CTCTTAAAATCGGTACTGGAATGAATATTTAACGAATGGCTATGCATCAGGAGAAGTTGATGATTACATTCATAACAATTTTCAATATCCTGAATCGATTGTTACAGATTAAATGACATTTATATCCGAGTTACTCGAGATACGACGGGTCATTTCAGTTCCGTCGTCGTCTCCTTCTCCGTGTTCGCATGTTCATTTACTTTTTTACATCACAGATGGCGCTGACAACACAATTTACTTCGCTAAAGTAATGAAATATATAACATGGCCTCTAATTTTCATAAGCTGTCAAGAGTTAGCTATTATTGCATCTGTGTCTCTTTTGATGATACAGTCGGTGCACGAAAAAAATAACATAAAATTATTGGAAAAATCTGATGTTCCTAACACGAAACACCTATTCGTATAGTTCGCATAATTTGTCCACGAGATTAAACATTTAGTATTTTTCCATGTGTTCTTTAAGCTATTTTACTTGTGGACTGCTTGTTTGTTTACAATCTCTGTGAGTGTGCAGATTACGGTAAACACAAAAGTAGAATCAATTATGAATTATTTTTTATTATAGTTTTTATTAATTCAGCCATATACGCAAAATAATACGTGAATAGTGTGATAATGCAGAAGAGGTTAATATTGACGTTTCTACTTTTCAAGATGAGAATTTTACGAGTATACATATTTTTATTTCACCACGATATGTAAATAATGTATGCTATTATAAGGCTGAACTAGGTATAAGAAACAACTGCATTGCATATTATTTATTTACCTTTATTAGAACTGCAGTGTATATTGTCCAAATATTCTAAGCCTTGACTAATTGTAAGTCTCTAATATAATTTCTTAACTAAATATCAAACTTTCATTTGCCTATATCTTAATGCGATAATTAATTGAAGACATATTGTTATCTCCGCAGATGTAAACTAAACTGGGCGGCTATTTGCTAATACTCGACCGCAAAGGGTTATAGGATGTGAACAGAGTGTAACGAAGTGTCAGTTTTACCAATACACAATGGCTTGGTACAACACTTGCTGCGCTCCAAAGATATTCGTTAATGAGTGATAAGTTTTTCAAACAAATTTATTATACAAGGTGTTTCAGAACTATCGTTAGTGGGCTATAGCTTGAGATCCCCTGAGTATCCTTCCTCAAACCGTTTGTCAATATTCGCAATAGTGTTTAAATGAGAAGCATTTAGAATGCACCAATCAGAACGAAGGATTTCCGCAGCTCATGGCTGCATGGTGGCAGGTACAATCGTGTAAGGCAAAAACTAACTGCTTCAGACGGATCGCGTGATTAGCAATTCGTTTACGGTCCAAGTGCTATATACACTCAGTATCATTAATGGTGTCCATTAATGCTAAAAGCTGCTAAAAGTCGTGCAGCGAGCGAGCAAAGCGAGCGAGCCCGACTGAAGAGAGCATTAACACGTTCCGTGAGAATGCCTTTTTGCCTGACTTGTCGTTCAAGCCATTTGATATTTCGACTAAAGATTGATATATTATCACACAATATTTCATTAAATCATCAATCGATAAGCAGTTATATTGTTTAGAGTAGTTATTACGTCGTGTACCACCGGTGGTACACGTGGCGCTGTGATCAGTTCAATTGTAAATGTCAGTCTGTTCGGAACATCTCGACTAGTAAAGAACCTGCCGCATTCGAATTTGTTTTAAGTAAAAAACGAGGCAAATAAAATATTTTCCAATAAGGGAGTAGGTAAATATACAAAGATAACAATCTAACATTTCTATTGTTAACTTTCATTGAATTATTCTTTCATCTTTTAATTTTTTTAATTGATCGAGTTATTCAATTTTCATTGTTCATCCCTAATGATAGGCAATATGGAAGTACACGACGGAGATAGTTCCAGATGTATTTCTACTGGCATAGAACTCCCATTATGTAGAAAACGCATACGTGGATTTATATTATCATCTGCCGATGAGACAAGTGATACATCAATTGAGGTTACCGGGCACCCTAAATGAAAATGCCGCCAAATTGTACATAGCTCCGAAAGTGAGGATGAAGCACAGAATATCAGTAATGAGTTGCTAAATCAATGGGTAAATCCAAGTGGGAATCAACCTTCACTTATACAATTCGCGGGTACACCTGGAATAACGTTATCGGATTATTTGGCGAAAGAAACCGATTTTTACCTATTATTTGTTACCGAAGAAATGTTCAGAGACATAGCAGAACAGACTAATATCTACGCGATGCAAAAATTGGCTCAGACACGGTCATGTCGTCTGAACAAATGGATTCGATTAGTAAAATTACTAATCTATATACTATAGTGAATAGGATTAGTAAAATTATTCAGAATACAGTTTTATTGGTCGAAAGATCCAACATTCGCTCAAAACTTTCCTCCATCAGTAATGTCAAGAAACCGCTTTGAGCTAGTATTACGAATGATTCATTTCGTGAACAATGAAAATGCAACCGTTGGAGACCACCTCTATAAAATCAAACCAATTATTAATAAACTAAAAGAAAATTATGGAAAATATTATGATCCGCCAGAAACAGTATGCATTGATGAGTCCATAGTACCATTTCGCGGCCGTATCGTTTTTAGACAATATATGGAACACAAACGGCATAGATAAAGGTATTCAAATTATGCTTTACACTAGGATATACGTACAGTTTTGAAATTTACTGCGGTCAGCAATCTGGCAAAGAGATAACTACGCCTAAAGCGGTTGCTATGTCACTTTGTCAAAATATTTTTGATAAGGAGCATACTCTTTGTATAGATAACTGGTATTCTAGCAAAGATTTAGCAAAAGAATTTATTGCGAGGAACACTCGGGTAACAGGAACGATTCGTTCAAATCGTCGTAGAATTTCGAAAGAAATGATGCAAAAAAATTACAACGAGGAGAAATATTTGCAAAGAAAAATGAAAATGGAATAACATTGATGAAATGGAAGGATAAACGGGATGGTCTACTATTGTCTACCAAACATTCTGTAGAGACGGCTATTGTTAGAAAAAAAGGATATGATATCGTAAAACCGAAACTTGCGATTGATTACAATGAAGCCAAGAGTTCCTCTTAAACACATCAGTTGTAAATGCTTGGATATTATATAATACTCAGCAACGGAATCCTATATCAATAGCAGAATTTAGAAAACGATTAACTAATTATTTATGTTACTGTGAGGATGAAAACAACAACTCGTCTTCTGAAATTACGACAAACTTTAGAAAACGATATGAATTTAAAAAACAAGAGGGCAAAGCGATGACAGTTAGACAACGTTGCAGTTCTTGCTATAAACAAAATGTAAAAAAATTTGGTACTGAAGTAGCACGGCTAAAAACTATAAGAGTAATGACGTTTTGTAGCGATTGCCCGAAAAAGCCGTTTTTATGTATCCCTTGCTTTAACAAAATCAACCATTACATGTAATTATTAATTATTGTAAATATAACAATTAAACACACTTATGTGCTTTGTTCTATACTGGATTTTGTATAATGCCTCAATCTTTTAGTAGAAATATTTTTTTACAGAATTAAATTTGTTATAAACATATATTTTCAGCGCATTAAATAAATATGTCTAAATGTACCACCGGTGTTACACGTGGCCTGAAGATCAAGTTCAACGTGTACCACTGGTGGTACACGTGGTAAAGAACGTGTTAAATATTTGAAAAGGCTCCGTCAGATAAAGATAATTTACAATATCGTTAAATTACTGGTGGAATATCGCGCAGGAGGCAAAATTCGCATTTGTGCATTACCCAATTCTGGGACACCTTGTATGCTTTTCTTATGAAATATCATATTGCTTGCATGTACAATGTACATCACATGACGTTTTATTAAATATGAGCAGTATCTGTCATTTCATTGATATAATTTGTGACGTGATTTTTCGATTCACGGTCACAAGACGACTCCGGCTACCGATACAGATAACGTTCTCGATTTCTGTTTCCCTTCGGGTCGCTATCCTGCTCAGAAGTTACGCTCTCAGGTTGATTTGTATAGTTACGCCAACGCTCTCGGAAGATTTCATATTGTTTAGTTGAGGTCGAGGTGCTAGAATCTACCGTGGGGAGATAGTCTCGACGTACCGAGTTACCCGGCAGAGAATACCTGACGGAGACGTCTCCACGGACCGACAGAAGCCCAGGTGAGATACCGGTGACCCGCTGGAGATGGGCAAAGGGCTGTAGAGCGGGCAGAGCTATAGTATTGATACGGCTAAGGGCAGGGGAGAAACCTCCTTCCTGGGTTAAGGATGTAGTGCCCAGCTGTCGCCCGATACCCTGGGGAAGCGGCTGTGGAGGATCTCCAAAAGTGTTACGTACCGATTCACTAAGGAACGCTCTCGATCTGGTTTAAAGGGATGAATCGAGAGAAATAAAAGAGTTATAAGCTATCAGGATCTCGATCAATCGAAATGATTAACTCTCGAATTTGGCTATTGTCAAAGCAGTCTATCTCAGGGCACCGATCGAGGTGTCACGAGTTGGCCTGCGCTCCCGTACTATCTGTTGATAGTTTTTCTAGCCGTGTTTCGATACGGTATAGCAAGTTCTCGGTCGTGTAGTTCTCGCGTTACTTTCGCGATATCCAGGAATTTCTATGGATTTTCTGTGCGTGTTCCTAAGTGTCCTCTAGATACAGTTCCCGGCTTTCTCGGATTAGCTGCACCAGCTCCGGTGAGGACTCCGAATTTATTAATTGGTGAAGGAATTTCGATTTGATAGTTCAAGTTCGTTCTGGTACGTTCTCGATCCGTTGCTCTCTGTATCCTGCACTATTTGCCTAATGCATACTTCACTCTCTTTATCTCAACTCTCAGTTTATACAGACTCGTCAGTTCCCGGTGAAAAAAGAACTAACTGGCGCCCTCCCGACTTACGGATGCATGGGCAAAGGGTGGACGGCCAAAGGTGACGTAGGTATCGAGTAAAGAAAATACGTTTCAAAACTCCAAAACTCGTTAAGAAACAGTCACTATATTTATAAGCGAAGTATCGCAGCAAAAATAATTACAATAATCATAAAAGTCGACATTTATACTAATTTTGAATAATAATAACTTTTTAATGAAAAATACCTTAGCGATATACGTCGGTTCTGCTGGTACTGCACCACACAAGGGAGGAGCTTTAGCTCCTGGCGCTTTTCCTACATAAAGTGGAAGAGTTTGTGCGGTACTCAACAACATCTTCATCAGAGCACCTCGCCTAATGGTTTCTTTATTCCCTGCATTTCGTGCCTTAAACAGAATATATAAAATATATAAATTTAGATATTTTCAACAAATTTCCGACTTGTCACTTGAAACATTATTATACTAGATGCATCCATTTGGATCTATTATGCAATCCAAAATAAAACTGGCTTTATATGACCATTTTGTTACAATTCTTTACAGAACAGAGTTAATTGTTAATTATTATTTATATAAAAGGTTTTCCGAAACTATCTGACCAACGGGGTATGGCGGTGTTCGGGAGACACCACTGATCACGAAATGACCTCCCTTTTCTCCGAAAGGTCATAGTTTTTAAATAGGAGCAGGTCAAAGTTGACCAATCAAAACGAGGTGTCAAGAAAAACGTAGGCACCTCTGAACTCTGAGTTTTCTTCCCTCGCTTTTGTTTCTCTGTGGCTTTGGGCAGGATCAACTGCCTAACATCAACAAGATGTTGGACCAGTTGGGAAAGGCACGATATTTTTCAACCTTGGATCTCGCCTCGGGATTCCATCAGATCCCAATGGCGAAAGAAGACAAGGAGAAAACGACGTTATCGACACCGCAAGGGCACTTCGAGTATAATCGGGTGCCTTTTGGGTTAAAAAATGCTCCCCCAACCTTTCAGAGATTGATGAATTCCGTATTAGCCGGACTCCAAGGAGTAAAATGTTATGTCTATCTAGACGACATAGTAGTGTACGGAAAGAACCTAAACGAGCACAACGCTCACTTGAAAGAGGTATTCAGGAGCCTTAGGGAAGCCAAACTGGCCATAGAACCAACTAAGTGCCAGTTCCTGCGAAGGGAAACGCATTACTTAGGGCATATCATCTCGGAAGAAGGTGTGCGAGCCGACCCGGAAAAACTCACAGCGGTAATGGAATTCCCGGTACCTAAAAATGTCAAGGGAGTTCAATCTTTTCTAGGCTTAGCCGGATACTACAGGAAGTTCATTAAGGATTTTTCGAAAATCGCCAAGCCTCTCACCGAACTTATCCGAAAGGACAGAAAGTTTGAATGGACTCCGATTCGAAATGCCGCTTTCGAAGAACTGAAAGAGGCACTGACGTCGGCACCAGTTCTACAGTACCCGGATTTCGAGAAACCGTTTATCGTGACAACAGATGCGTCCGACAAGGCAATCGGCGCAAACTTGTCACAGGGCAAGGTCGGAGAAGATCTGCCAATCTTCTACGCAAGCCGAACGTTGTCTAAAGCGGAGCTCAACTACACCACGACCGAAAAGGAGCTACTCGCCATCGTATGGGCGATAGCACAGTTCCGACCGTATATCTACGGCACCCGGTTCAAGGTCGTGACGGACCATCAGCCGCTGACTTGGCTGTTTGGAGTAAAGGACCCGGGCTCCCGACTCATGAGATGGAGAATTAAACTATCGGAACATGAGTTTGACGTGGAGTACAAGGCCGGGAAAAGAAACACTAACGCGGACGCGTTAAGTCGTATTTACGCTACGACAAGGGCCCAGAAGAAGGCGAGGGAAACCTCCGAGCCGAACGGCAGCCTAGGGCCAGAAGAAAGCGCGAAGGACTCTGAACGTCCCAGCACAAAGCTGTGCGGTTGGGGCAGAGATAGCGCAGAAATCCGTATGGAAAAAAGCTCGGAAGAGCAGAGCGAATGCTCATCGTCCTGCAAAGAAGAGGACAACAGTTCGAACGACGAACTTGACTATGGCAGCGGCGTAACCTGCCCCTCGGTAGAAGACCGTGAGTAAATCGTTAAAGAATACCACGATGCCCCTCTAGGAGGGCACCAGGGCGTCAAGAGAATGCTACAACGTATTCGAATGAGGTACGACTGGCCAGGAATCCGAAGGGAACTGGAAGATTATATCTCCACGTGCCGTAAGTGCCAGGTGAACAAACTGCGTAAAAAAGGAAGTGTCCCAATGATAATAACGGACACACTAGCACGGGCCTTCGAAAAAGCAGCGGTCGACATAGTAGGACCGTTGCCAGAACTTGTCACAGGGCAAGGTCGGAGAAGATCTGCCAATCTTCTACGCAAGCCGAACGTTGTCTAAAGCGGAGCTCAACTACACCACGACCGAAAAGGAGCTACTCGCCATCGTATGGGCGATAGCACAGTTCCGACCGTATATCTACGGCACCCGGTTCAAGGTCGTGACGGACCATCAGCCGCTGAAAGATTATATCTCCACGTGCCGTAAGTGCCAGGTGAACAAACTGCGTAAAAAAGGAAGTGTCCCAATGATAATAACGGACACACTAGCACGGGCCTTCGAAAAAGCAGCGGTCGACATAGTAGGACCGTTGCCAGAGACAGCATCTGGAAACAAGTACATACTTACCTTCCAGGATGCCCTCACTAAATACAGTGAGGCGGTAGCCATCTTCAATCAAGAAGCCAGAACTGTGGCGAAAGCCCTCGTTGAAGAGATCATCTGCATATATGGAACGCCAGAGTCGATACTCTGTGATAAAGGAACGAATTTCCTGAGTTCGACCTTCAAGGAGGTATGCAAGTTGCTGAGAATTAAGAAGATCCAGACGACTGCATATCATCCGGAAAGCAACGGCGCATTAGAGCGATCGCATCGCACGCTCGCAGAATATCTTAAGAACTACATAGACGAGGATCAAGGAAATTGGGATGAATGGCTACGATACGCAATGTTCACTTATAATACTACGCCTCATACGGCGACCGGATTGTCACCGTATACGCTAGTGTTCGGTCGGAAAGCAGAGCTCCCGACAGCAGTGAAACAGGAGCCGCGAAACTCCTACTCCTTAGACGACTACGCACAGGAACTAAGGGAAAGGCTACGCGCCGCATGGACGGTAGCCGGGGCTAACGTACGTTACGCCAAAGAAAGGTCTAAACTGACCTACGACGCGAACGCGAAAATAGAGGAATACCGCATTGGAGATAGGGTCCTACTCCACAACGAAGCCGTACGGCGCGGGCGTTCAGCTAAATTGACCCCGAAGTGGATAGGCCCATACGAAATAATCGCGAGAAATTCGGCGGTTAACTACACTATAAAGATGGGTCGGAAGACCATTCTGGTTCACGCAAACCGCCTAAAAAACTTCATTGAGCACTAAGTAGGAAGCGGGATGGTCACAGCCGGAGGACGAACGGAGGTAGTCCAAGAACACGGCACTTAAGGATAAGCATCCATTATCCTATTTATGTTCGGTCTACATCTCTCGCCCGCATGTCGGGCACTCCTCTCTGAATAGCCTAAGTAGCCCCAGGAAATCCGGGGGATCTTCGTCGCCAGCAAAGACACCTAGGCCCCAGAGGGCCTCCACCGTCCGCCGGCACATGAGTCGTCGGCGACGGATCTCCCTAAGCACTCGAACCCCTAACTTCTCGACCGGGCTACGTCGATCCTCCCTGGTCGGGATGACTAGCTGGTCCTGAGGAGTAAAAAAAAAAAGCACGACGTGAGGAAAAATGCAGCACACACGTAGAAAGGGGAAAGTCACCGATACTAACCAACTCCCGCAGAATGGCAGGCCCCACGTCCTTACCCTCACAATAGATAATGCGATACATCTTGCTCCAAAACCAGGAACAGATTGAGCTCCCTAGAGTCTACCACGAACGAAACCAAAAAAAAAAGGGGGAACTAAAGAAAGAAGGAATTCGCACTGAGTAGGCAATCCCACGGTTCAGCCAGTTTCAAGTAACTCGCTACTCCTCTTGCAGAACAGTCCTGCTGACGGCGAGCTGCGTAAACCCCGGAGAAGCGGAAGGAGGGTTTACGGTAACCACGTTTGCCAGCAATCCGGGAATATTCTGTGAGGAAATCGGAACCCTCTCGGAAGCCAAGGCCACATGGAGACTAGCCGTTACCATGGATCTCGCGGCCTTATTGAAACGAGAAGCCGACGTCAGCGCTAATTTGCGGCTGCTATTAGACATCTGCGAGAAACAAGGAAGAGATGACCTTCTCTGTCCAGCCATTGCAGATTCCGTGGCCAGGATGGTGCGGAAAATGGAAGACCGAATAGGAACGGTTCACGACCTCGTGAAACCGGACTCAGCGCGTAGGCGCAGGGGATTGATCGACGGGTTAGGATCAATTATAAAGTCCATCACCGGAAATATGGACGCCGCGGACGCGGAAAGGATCAACCAAGAAATTGCCGCCATACGCTTCAACCAGCGAACGCTGTAGGAGAGCATGAAGGACCAATTACAGGTGGTCGAGTCCACGTTGCACCTATTCAATGACACCTTCACTAACGTGCAGAGCAACGAACTGGCTCTGCAAGAAGTCATTGCCCATGTAAACCTTACACTGACGGCAGACCTGAGTATAGTGATAAAAGAGCAAAGGCTAGATGAGGGCCTCACCGCTCTAAGCGTGATAATCGAGGCACTACAGAACGACGTAAAAGAATTGGTTTGGCTATTAGTTGAGATTCCGAGCGGCAAGGTGAGTGCGGTGGTGCTACCACCGAAAAAACTCGTAGAGTACCTCACAGATGCACTACCTCACTTACCAACGGGAACTGGATTCCCGGTGCCAATCGAACGCAACGAAGCATCTACCCTAATGAGACTAGCCGATACGAAGGCCTTCAGTCAAGGGAACGCCATCGTCGTCATACTCGACTTTCCGTTAATAAGCCAGAAGAGGTACTGCGTAAGCAAGGTATACCCGATACCCGTAAGGTCAGCGAACGGGGCTTACTACTACCCCGACATCTCGGAAAACCTCGTGATTGTGGACCAGGAAAATCGAAACTTCCTACGAATGACCAACCTGGAATTGAAGGATTGTAAACATTTCGCGAGTAGATATATATGCAATCCCCTGCATCCGTCGATTCCTCTGACGAGCTCAGCACCGTGCGAAGTGCGGACGTTCGCAAAAATGGACACGGGCAACGGCCTCCACTGTCCAAAGCGGGTCATCACGTTCAACCACATCCTAGTGATTACTATGCGCCAGCCGGGTAAATGGTTATTCATAGCGCCCACCGACGAATCAATAAGTATTACCTGCGACGGAAACC